AGATAGATAGATAGATAGATAGATAGATAGATAGATAGATAGATAGACAGACAGACAGACAGGAAGGTCTGAGCTGCAAAAGTCCAGATAACCACTAGAGTAGCAAGAGTTAATTTTCTGTTTCTTTTTCTCTACTGCAGGAAAATCATATAGTACACATAACTATTTTAGCTGTAAACAACCCAGTTACTCTAATTACATAGGTAGGTAGGTAGGTAGGTAGGTAGGTAGGTAGGTAGGTAGGTAGATTGCAAGAGCTGAACTGCAAAAATCCAGATAACCACTAGAGAGTAGAAAAGAGTTTTCTGTTTCTTTTTCTCTGCCGTGTAAATTTTCCAGATGTCTGCAGTCCAGATCCAATAGCCCCAGCACACACACACACTTCTAAGCATCTATTTCACATGTCTCAAACTCATGGCATCACATGACGTTTTTTTCCCTTCACAGAAGTGGGCGTGGCCTGCTTGTGACACATCCGGCCCGCAGGCCGGCAATTTCACACCCTGACCTATTTTGTCAAGAGCCTGAATGCATATGTTACAACTAGACAAGGCTATAAAGACCTACAGTCTTTTCTTCCGCATAACCCAACATCAACAGCACAATAAACTTCTTGAAGTGGGGGGCGGGAGAGACCCTCTATGTGTCTCATCCGCTTTCTCTTGTATGATTGCATTTCTGACTTGTTTGCAAGAGTAAGACGCAAGTTGGGGACTCCAAGTCAGCTCTGACTGTCAGGGATGATGGGAAGGTTAGCTGCCTTTTGCAAGAAGGAAGTTGCTGAGGTGTCAAAGGAGCGGTGGGGGCCACTGGGAACTTCATGAATGGGGTGGGAGTTTCTGGAAGAGGGATTTACTGTATTTATTAAAATCACACACTGCCTTGTCTTTGGAAAGTTCCGACAAGTTTACATATGCTCGGCAAGAGATTTTTTTTTTTAATCCAGACTGCTGCTAACATAACCAGGCTAGCTTAGCTCCAGAATTAGTATGGCTCTGGACTATACTTCCTAGGCACCAATGACCCAGTACTCTTCAATCTAGTTGCTTTCCTTACAAAAGATATCGGTGCACAACTAACAGAAATCACAACTACAGGTAGTCCTCGGCCTACGATCAGAACTGAGCCCAAAATTTCTGTGGCTAAGTGTGACAGTTGTGAAGTGAGCCTTGCCCGTTTTACGACATTTCTGGCCACAGTTGTGAAGTGAATCGTAGCAGTTATTAAATCAGTAACACGGTTAATTAAATGCATCTGGCTTCCCCACTGACTTTGCTTGTCAGAAGGCCCCAAATCACACGATCTGGGGACACTGCAACGGTGCTAAGTATGAACCAATCGCCAAGCACCCAAATTTTGATCGTGTGACAACGGGAATGTGGCAACGTTCATCAGTCTGAAAAAAGGGTCATAAGTCACTTTTGTCAGTGCTGTTGTAACTTTGAATGGTCACTAAATGAACTGTTTTAAGTCAAGGACTACCTCTAACCGCTTATTTCAGCTAAGCCTTTCAATCAGAGCTCTGTTCTAATATTCAGCTATCATGCATCTGTTCTGAGCAAAAGTCAGATGAGCAAAATATATCAACAAGAGTACATTTTCTGTGTATTCTTACTTCTAAACACTGAGTGTCTTCGCAGTTAAAGCAGAATGGCAAAAAAACCCAGCCTATATATTTCTAAAGGGGAAAAGAACAAATGCTTGATTTGAATCCTCGGCAATGAGGAGACAGGTTGGTGAAGTTGGGTTGATCGACTAACTCCATTCTCTAGAACAGGGGTGTCAAACTAAAGGCCCCTGAGCCAAATCCAGCCTGTGGGGTATTTAGATATGGCCCAAGGGACCGCCTTGGAAAGAGCAAAGGACTGGCCCGCAGTGCTTCAGCCAGAGAAAATGGAGCTCGGGAGGGCTGCACACGGTTTGTTTTCACCGGCGGAGGGTTGCCGGAGCCATCCTGGCTGAGAGCGTAGTTTTTGATGGCAGAGGGTTGAGGGAGGCCATCCCAGCTGAAAATGGAGCTCAGGAGCCCGTTTTCGCTGACAGAGCGCTCAAGCCAGCACAGGCGCCCCCAACATGAGTGACATCGACCTGGCCACGCCCACCCTGGCCATGTCCTCTGAGGTCAAACACA